TTAGTTGCACTCTTACTCTGGCTCTCTTCACTCTTTAGCTCCTGTGACTGACCAAGACAAAATTGCTCCTTAAAATATCGATAGAAATAGAAATATAAATTAAGGGATTGTGACATGAAGTTGATCCAATACCAAATTCTCAGAATTAACATTATTGGAATTGTATGACAGACAGCAAAGAGAATTGCAAAGGAGATCTTAGGAATGAAAGGGTTAAAACCTTTCTTTTACCAAGGTTTGATGTTGGCAAACTTTCAGGGAAACTTTTGAACTCTTGGTTACAAATATATCTTGTCCATGAGGATTAGCAATTCTCATAGTCACTAAATCCCTTTCAAACCTTGTTTGTTTTAACAGTGACACTCATCTGTAAATTAGGTAATAGATCAAGTTAGATATTGATCAATTCTTTGTTGATTCAGTGAGCACTATTACCCAGTCTGTTTGGTTGACGTGATCAACTCAATTTGTCTTGATGTACATTGGAGTAAAATGGAGCAAAATGAGAAATGTAATAAAATAGCAGTAGAGTGAAATAGTCAGGGAGGTCTGGGTTGGTTCAATATGCCACCCAACCCAACCATTATGTTCTTTTTTTTTTCATTAAGGTGCCTAATATTGAGGTGATCATGTTATAACCCAAAAAAAAGTAAATGTTTCATTTGCTGAAATCTCATACACTGTATATTACATGAAATTTAAACTTCCTCATTTTCAGCTGAAGTCATGATCTTCCTTTAACTTAAGGTTAAGTTTGGCACTTTAAATTTTGTGATAGAGTGACATAAATCCATTTTTTCCCAACTTTTAGCCCCCAAACTCGTCCACTTCTCACTCTTCAGCTCAGTTGTCTGATCACAATCAAGCCTCTATTGCCAGTAATGGTGCTCCAACACCACACCTCCTTTGCTCCACTGCTATTATCACATCATTTACTATCATGCTTTGTTTTACTAACTGAATGTTTGAAATAGGCAAAATTGCAGCATGTCCTATATCTCTTTTGGTTACCTAAGTCAATTTTGATATGCAAAAGAATGTAACAAAATTGTTGCCACAATAGTCAACTTTTTTTGACTTTGCAGCGTCTCAAGGAACAGCTTAAAATGCACCAAGCAGCACAGTCTAACAATATCATACATCGTGCCATGACTGAAGCTGTTGACATGGTAACATCCCAACATAATGGTCTCCCTGTGAGTCCAGCTAATCACATAAATCACCAACAAACTACAGTCGTAACCAGCAACAGTCCACAGGACACCAAGAAAATGTCAGGTGCCTCGTAAGTATTAACTGTGATGATAACAGTAGCCATGGTAATTTGAAATTTTTGGCTTTATTGGTTTTCAAACCTTGTCATCTGAGCCTGTTTAGCCCATGGAAGCATGGAGAGCTGGTTCTTATTCCTTTTCCTAAAATTAAATCCATGGGCTTGTTGGTTTTGTTGTCCAGTTCATCAGTCATCTACTACCTCATATCTTCCCCACACCCTTTAGACATGGCATGTAGTAGTTATATCACTGTCGTATCGTTAATACATACACTATATGTTCCCTGTCTGAGTCAATGAGATTAAAATGATAAAACTTTGTTTATGTAGAAAACGCCCACGAAGAACACAGGATGAGCTGGACCCTGACGAGAGAAGAAAGCGCTTCCTTGAAAGAAATCGGTGAGTATTCACAGACAAAACTCAGTATATGCATACTATATACATGTATAGTTTGGATGTTATGGGTTACAGTTGGTTGAAGAGAACAACAAAACATTCTATCCCAATTTACTTCTATCTTGCATCACAATTGACATGTTAGAGTGAAAGGAAACCCATTATCTACAACAACCTTCAAATGGAGTAGCTGTATCTGTTTTTAAAATGATAGTGCCTGTACATGTACACACTTGATGAACCTGTGCGTGTTTCCTTCAGAGCTGCGGCCACTAGATGCAGAGAAAAGAGAAAAATCTGGGTGCAGCAGCTAGAGAAAAAAGCAGATGACCTTAGTAATACAAATGCTCACCTACAGGTATGATTGGTTTTACTTTTTTTACTGTTTTTCGTTTGTTTTGTCGACCGTTTTAAATTAACTATGATGCGTTTTCTCACGATCGTTTGTTCATTTGAAGCAGCATGATAGCACATCACTCAATCATATTGATAAAGATAATGACAATACAAACAATTACCTGAAATATCGTCGTAAAAAAAATCACTGAAAACAATGTTCCACTGATTCAGAAGCGGAACTTCAGCAGGAGTGTTGGTCGTGCTGATTCAATCATTGAAGACCTTCATGTTAGTTTTCAAGGGTGTAGAAACTTTATTCATACGATTTACCTTGTGACTCAGGAAACAACAGTCCTATGAATCGCTATGTTAACTTCTTTGTGATTGCCTTTAGATACTTTTATAACACGTACACTGACACAATTTTTCGATTTCTGTAATGTTTGTACAGAGTGAAATAACACTTCTACGAACCGAAGTTGCGCAGTTAAAATCCCTACTTCTGGCGCACAAAGACTGTCCGGTCACAATAGCACAGCAAAGAAACGCACAGATGTTAAGTAAGTATTTAAACTGAAAATCTTGCTCTAAACTAATCAAACAGTCGATAACATAATTAAGATTTTGTTTTGTCTATTTGACTCACGAAATCGCGCGGTCTTCGTACAAAAGAAGTTGGTCGAGTATGGAGACGGGAGCTGAGACTTGAAAAGAAGCAAGCACAATCATCAACGCTCTCTCGCATCTCGACCTCCGTGAAAAATTCAAACTGTCTTTATGTCTAGTTTTGTTCACTTGCTTTTTTCTGTTCTTCTTTTCTATAGTGATAAAAAAAACTTCTTCATGCAGTTATTGGCTATCATTATCGGGATTACCTTCCGATCAAAGAGCTGTCTTGTAGTCCTCTTTTCTGTAACCAGTGTTACCAAAACTTAACGTTAGACTTTATCTTGGAAAAAATGCCAAGCTAGGGTGATAGAATGTCAGTAAAGTTGCCAATTTATCAAACGAGTTCCTATTTTTCCAACAGATCATCAAGTTGGTGAGCAAACGAACGGAGTTCTTACAAATAATTCCCACGGCACAGATGCTGCCTCTGCTGAAGATGTCGCTACCAGCGCTCTCACGCAAATGGCTCACCGAGCTACCCTGGAACTAGAAAATCTTGCTGCTACTACGATGTCGAGTGTCATAACAACAAACACTAACCCCATCGGGGTTTGATATAGAGTAACTTAGGTAGAAACAAGTACAGTAAGACATTAAGAGCATTCTAATCAGCATGTACAGTTAATTAGAACGGCGCGCGTGCGTGAAAATAACCGCTTTTAGAAGTGTATTTATACAGATTTCAAAGAGAACTGAATGTATTTTAGGTATGACGCGTGTCTGTAAGTTGCTACTCGACACTTGTGCTACTTTCTATCAGAAGCATCTTACCGCGCCATTTTTATTACTGACGCATTCATTTTGTGTTTGCTGAAGCTGTAGTATAAAACTATTTGTTTTAAGGTTTTAATTATACAGTGCGACTCAGCAGATGGTGGAACAGTATCGCTCTGAAAAATGCAAAGCCTACGCGTTGACGCGTTCAACACTCAGCAGAAGTGCGAGAAAAGAGTGCAATGTTATGTTATCTTAGCAGCTGTAATGATTCAAAAAATGAAAAATGCAAAGCTTACGCGTTGACGCGTTCAGCACCCAGCAGAAGTGCGAGAAAAGAGTGCATTGTCATGTTATCTTAACTGCTGTAATGATTCATTTCCTGAGTGTGATGTTCTTTCATGAAAAATGTTTATGTAATTGTGTAATTCCGTGTCTGATAGGGGTTAAGTTAACCCTTGATTTACGGTGTTGAGTGTAGGTTACTGGAAATTCCAGTTTCAAACTGAAAACAATTCTATTCAATTTGTGTGCTGGCCCTTCGTTGGGCGATTCTGTGTTTAACGTTCACGTCAAGATGGCAAGTAACCAATTGACTTCTTTAATTTCTCATCGAAACCGAACCCTTCTGCGGCGATGTGTTGCTGACATAACGATATAAAGGCTAAGCGCTTGTTCGTTCGTGGTGCGCTCCTCTGATGCCTGTTTTGTTAAAGCAGGACGTGCATTTGGTGTAAGAAAATAACCCTTGTAAATAAATAGAAACGAAAAAAAGGCGATATATACCTATATCCTTACTCGAGTTTTACTGTGGCACAATGTGACGTTCAATAAAACCGGTGCAAACTCACTATTGTGTCCTATTAACTTACTTTTCTCTATCTCGAGTTTGGCCACCTAGCATTGAAACAATAGGGCTCTTCCTTAGTAGGGTTGGGGTAAGGGCAAAGGTTAGCGTCAACATTATGGTTAGGATGTTAGGGTTAGACATTATAAGTTTATTGCGCTATTATCATTACTGTCATTATAACTGTTTCTGCTATTATTATTGTTACAATTTATAAAAACAAATTCGCGTCACAACTCGCCATTTTTCTACTAGCGTAAAGGGACATCTGATCGACAAAAACTCATTCGCGTGTTTACAAATACTTGAATACCTTGCCAAGCGGTAAACGGAAATGTTCGGCTGAGTGCCTTTAGTTGTTGAAACAGCGAAAAATGCTCATTGTCAAGTAGTCATGGCATGAGTCAAGCCCAAACATTTCTTAAAGCCTTCAACCTCTAAGTGTGACTAACATCTAATTTCTCCTTACAATATCACACCTTAATCAAACATGACGGTCACGAGAGTAGATGAAATGATCACCGACCCAATAGCAACCAGTATAACAATTGTATTATGGGTCATTAGGAAATTTGAAATGTAAGTGCTTGTTGTATGTGCAATCTGAAGGGTTCCCTTTACAGTTGGTATTGCATAAACAAAAACAGTGATACAGTCAAACCTGTATCAAGCGGTCATTCACGGGAAATGACAGGTTGACCGCTTAATACATGTTGACCGCTTAATGAAGGTTTCACAGAACAGAGTCACTACAACAAACATGATGAAAACGTCATTTTATGCCATAAATAACCGATTCACATACAAAAACTCACTTAAAAATGCTACTAACATTGAAAAAAATTTCCTTGAAATATTATTCGTAGTTTTATTTGAGTAGATCTACTAAAATTAACCGTCCGATACAGGTCGAGGACATTACAAACGGGCCGTTAGAACTCAATAAAAGGTGACCACGACCGCTAAAGAAAGGTGAAAATTACAGTAATTAAGGGTAAAAATCTCTGGACTTTGAAAACTGACCGCTTAATACGGTTCGACTGTAATTCCAACATTGACTGTTGCATAATGATGTTTAGTTAAAACTGATAAGGCCAGTTTGTAGGTTTCACTATTAAGGCAGAATACGATCCCAACCTACTTCATAAGCTTTCATACAAAGTAGAATCTGACTATTCTTGAGTTTTTGTAAAAAAAAAAAAAAGTTATTTTTCTGTGTTACATGTCAATGATTGACAACTTCAACCATGAATCGCCTTTTATTCTAAAAAAATTAAACTTGTATTTTAATTTGCCCTCGGAGTAAACTTGTCAAGAACCAATAATTTCCTTAAATAGTTAGCGAAAACACAATAATAAAAAACTGATAAAAGAAAATGAAAATATTCAAAATGACTATGAAGACGATAATGTGATGACCTGAAACATGCAAGAACAAATTTTACACAGTTGGTCAACACGTACGTTTCATCTTATATCTTGACATTTAAGGCGCGTCAAAGGCGCCTTGAAAGTTCCTTTCAGTTCAGAGAGCTGAACACAATTATTTAGTTATTACAGCAAGCTTACTATGTTCATACGGAACGGATGAGGGCTTTTTCAGGTCCTGCTCGCTGGATGAGAGTCCGCAAAACGGCTGCGTCTGTAAGGTAATCTACCTTAAGTCTTCTTCAGAGACAGATTCTAATTTCCAGGTCATAGGACTGTTGTTGGAGGGAACCCCTCACCTTGCGGTGCAGAAAGTTGGTCCTAACAAAAAAAGCGTTTAAACTTTCACAAAAATTGAATTTCAGCAGGTGGGTGATTTTCAATTTCACCTTAGCGATGATTCCTGTTAGTCAAGAGCTCCTGAGCTGCTTATGATATCTCCTCTTTGTTGAATCATCATAAAAAGGAAAATGATGATGACGCAAATGTAAAATTATTCAAAACATCACAATACGATATCATGGCCGCACGGTTTGCAAACGTACTTTACGCCACAAAAAGTAGGAATGACCAAATTTTTTTTAAGCCCGCGCACGTAATGGTAAGCTTCACGTAACTAGAGGACCCAAATGAAGAGAATTGAAACTTACCTCACCCTTGGACGCAGGATTTGTTTCCATATCAACAGCCAACTCGTCTTCGTTCTCTTGGACTTTGTCGCTGGACGTAGATATTGCAGAAGGTTTTCTGGAATTCGTTTTAGAATGTTCTGAAGCATCTGATTTGTTGTCTTGATCATCAGGGTAAAGATTACTCCGTATCAAATGTGAGTGTTTCAGAAATAACAGCAACTGAGCTTTATAAATATCGTTGTCATCATCGTCGTCTCCGATAAATTCTGGATTCGTTTTCCCCTTGGGATTGGCACTAGTTGCTGTACTGTCCTCGTAGATAATTTCGAGTGGTACAACAGTACTGAGTCCATTTGTCTCATAATCCTTGGAGGTAGATTTTCTGAAATTAAAAGGTTGTCATTAATCTTGGCGTAAATCTTACGCAACTAGCATTGACGTTTTCCGGCGAGGGGAGGGAGTGTTCATTCAATGGCTGATTTGACTTTAGAGCCGAGCCTGATTTATACCCAACTTATTTCCATACTTTGACTCGAGTAGTCGTTGCTTCAAACCATTGTGTTATTCCTTACTCATTCGATTTAAGTAACCTATACTTACCCATTTCTTTGTTCAGCTTTTTTCCTTCGTCTTCGTAGCAGAAGCAACACAACAAAAATAAGAATCAAGAGAAACACACCACAGGCGACTCCGACAGCTATCCACACCTCAGTTGAAACTGAAAAACATGAGCAGTAGTGGCCAGAAGTCAGACGGTAAACTCTCACATTCCGACAAGATAAACGCTAATCAAAAATTAATGATTGAGAGTAGCACTATTTCAGAATAAATATACATCATACCAATCGTATGAGCTATTCAATCGTGATAGCCCAGTCCTCATCAATATGAAACCCGCAAAGCCAAGTTCTTAATTAGTTGTGTAAACTTGTTCTTGGACAGTGGGGCAAAGGCTATTGCCCTCCGGTTAATAGGCTGGACTTAGGACCGAAATATCCAGTGTATTTTTCAGCCAGGCCACAGTTGCTGCGTTGCGCAAGACACTTAAGTCTCACACTGAGCGCCTCCACCTAAATGAGTGGCTAAACTGACTGGTATCTTGACAACATGTTGAAGGTTCCCTGTAATTTACTATCATTTCATTTAGATGGAGTAACAATACAATTGGTCGCCTAATGCGACAGAAACAACAAAAAGCTCCTGATGCCCGTCCAATCAGTCTCGTATTTGGACTTTTGAATACCTGGACAGCGGACATCGCTATTGCAGTCTATGTATTCTACATCCCGTCCCAGTCCGGCGCAATCGTTGCCCCCAAGTCGAGGAGAAGGATTATTACAAGTGCGCTTGCGGTGTTTCTGTCCACCTTCACACGTTTTGCTGCAGTCTGTAAACTCGGACCACTCTGAATAGTTTCCATGCACGGGATCTGTTTAAAAGTATTTTAGAGTATTTAACCATAGATTGTTTCTTTTGGAAGGAAAATATTTTAATAATTCAAAAATCTGTAAGTTTAAAGTACATTTCTTGCTTAGATCACAAAGGTCTGCACGTAACTTTAAATGAACAGAGTTTTTTTTTGTCATTTAGCGATAGATTGTAACTTACCTAATCTTTGAGTACATCTGTCTCCCACAAATCCATTGCACCTTAGGATGGATCCACATAAAGATAAGTAAAGAGTCGCATGTTTCCTCGTTATCCAATACTTTAACGCTGTATTTATGTTTCTCAGTATTCTCACACCAATTCACATGTAATTATCATTTCCGCGTGAAAGGCATGTAAAAAACATGTGTGAAAAAGCATGTAAAATTTTGTCCATTTTGCATTATGATTTTATACTCTCTTCAACTGGTTCTTGAAGCCGACACATGATAAACGTGCCCTCGCGCATGCACTTTGACGGCCTTGACGGCAAGTTGTGAGGAGCGCCTGATGAATGAATTTGGATTAACGTCGGCTAAAATAAGTGTCGAATCAAAAACGTGGAAAATTTGCTAAACAAGACAGTGTTTAGTCGAGTGAATGCAGTACTGACCTACACACTGGACCGTTGGCACCATCGTCACAAATACCTGCATTCGCACAGAATCCGGCGGAACACTTCTCTGTAATGCAAACAAAGCGAAGAAATTCCGAATTTCTTCAATAATAAAGGAGAATGCATTTGGCGCCAGAAAAATCTAACCAGAAAGTAAAGACCAGATAATTAAGATTACAGTTGAAAAAATATCATTTTGCCAGTGAATTATGAGAAGTGCAGTTCCCATGTAGTTTTAAATGTGTTATGGAGATGATAAAAGAAAAATTAACATCATACCTTTAACGAGAATTCTCCCGAAAATAAACCCTTCAATGTTGGAACCATTTTTTCTCCAGAGGGTCACATTGACTGCATGTGTAGTCGTGTTGGACGTACTGTCGATAAGCAATCGAAAATCCACCAGAACGCTTCCATTTCTTAAATGAATCAAAATTGGAAAGGTCAAAACTAAATCAGAAATCACTAATATTTCGTATCAATATTCCCAGTCTTAATTATTTTAATGCGTTAGTTAGGATTGTTTCCTTTGAGTTCAATCAGATAATCGTTGCTGTCATCAAGGTACACCGGCATACAACCCGTTCATTGGCTGGACCAAGAAGTAAGTTCACTTTAGACATCAATTAGTCACTGAAAGAGACATTAATGTTTCTTGCAAACCTGAATTCAAGTATTTGTATTTCCTTCAGGCCCGTCACATCGCGAGAGAACATGTCCCACAGCTGTAGGAAGAATGAAATCATGATATGACTAATCTCTCAATAAATCGATTTTAATGGTTCTAACGTTCATTCCTTTACGTAGTAATTCCTGATCTGTCGTTTAGTCAGTCCGTCTAGCATCAATTAATCAGTTAAGAATTAAATCACTCAACGAAAATGAATGGCTGAAATATTTACCAGCTCCCAGTTGGCTTGTTAGCTCAGTTGCTGAGCGCTGCACCGGTATCGCAGAGGTTATGGGTTCAAATCGCATGCAGGCCTGAATTTTTTTCAGACTTTACTTTCGCTATTGCTTAAGTAGTGTTTATTACTTCGAAGATCGCTTTCATATTCATTTCTTAACCCGCAGTTTACATATACGATTTTCATTTATTCACAGTCATTGAAACATATTTCTTTTAAACAATTGCATTTTTAATTTCAGCGAATACACGTCATGCAGTGTCAAAACATATCTGTGTCACTAAACTGAAATCTCTTCGGTTCAGAATGAAGTACAATTCTTACCGTGTAGTTCACCCTTCGAGACAGATTCACAAAACGTGCTGAACTTTTATTCATCAGGTCTTTATCGTATTCTTCATTTATTAACGAAACCGTCACATCAATAATCCTCGTGTCATTTGAAGCCCTTGGTTTGGTCAGGATATCTGTTGCTAACACGGTGAACGAAGAAGATTCCTTAAGACGCGACTTGAGAGGTGAAAGAGTTACGTCAACTGTCTGTGACGTAAGGTTTACAGCGGCCATTTGAGAAATTGAGGAAACTGTCGATCGCTGCTCTTGCAAGGCGTTACTTCTCCAGGGTGAGAATATCAAAGCTGACGTGAATGCCTCTGACGACGACCTAGAGCTCATTGTATTTGACTTAGTAGAAACAATAGTCCTGTTAGCCGTGTGTGACATCACGTTAGCAATGATCAATTGAGAGATTGAGGAAATCACCGATCCTGTGGGGCGGATGACATATGTTAATGAGGAGTGTTTCGATTTTAAAGTTGATGTTAGTGATAAAGGTAAATCTAGTGATTTTAAAGACGCTGGAGAAGAAAATGGAAGAGATGAAGTTGCTGGTGGTAATGATGATAAAGGAAATGGTAATGGTGATACATTTTTTGACGATGACAGCGATGGGGAAGGTAACGAAGACAGAAACAGGGAGTGAGACAAAGACGGAGATGGATATGACGATGGAGATTGAGACGGAGATGGAGATGATGATGGAGATGGCGATGATAGTGACAATGGTGGTGGAAATGATGATGCTGGTAGTGACGATGGTAATGGCGATGACAAAGGCCATGGCGGTTGTGATGATAATGTAGATGAAGACGGAGACTGAGATTGAGGCAAAGACGGAACCAAAGATACAGATGACGATGGAGATGGAGGCAAAGATGGAGTCAAAGGTGGAGGTGGAAATGATGGTGATGGTGGCTGTGATGATCTTCGCAGTGATGATAGTAAATGCGAAAGCATTAGTGACAGTGATGGAGAAGGCGATGGAGAGTGAGATGGGGATATCGAAGGGGACGGTGTGAGAGATGATAATGGTAGGGATGATGATGGCGATGGTGATGGAGATGACGATGGTGGTGGAGATAATGTCGGCGATATCGATGGAGATGGGATTAGGGCTGGAGATGGCGGCGTTGACGATCGTGGTGGAGATGATGTTGGTGATATTGATGGAGATGGGGTTGGAGATGGCGGCGTTGACGTTGGTGGTGGAGATGATGTCGGTGATATTGATGGAGATGGGGTTAGGGCGGGAGATAGCGGCGTTGACGATGGTGGTGGAGATGATGTCGGTGATGTTGATGGAGATGGGGTTAGGTCTGGAGATGGCGGCGTCGGCGATGGATTGGAGAATGGTATGATAAACGATGACGGTAAAGGCGGTGACGATAGTGAAGGCGATGGTGATTCTAATAGTGGAGGGGATGGCGTTGACGATGGTAACGACAACGTCGCCGTTGACGATAATGATGATACGGTCGGCATTGGCGATTGCCCTGATGATTGTAAGGACTTTGAAATCACTGATGATGTTAACGATGACGTCGATGATAACTGAGACCATAGGGATGGCCATGATGATAATGATGAGGATGATAAGAGTGCTGTTACTGATTTCCGTGCTCTTGACTGTGATGAGGATGGTGACGCCTTTGTCGTCGCTGATAGTTTTTGTGGCGAAAGTTGTAGAAATGTTGACGTTGCTGAAAATACTGTCAAGGAAGAATTCAAAGACGAAGAGTTTGAGAATGCTGAAGATGATGGCGAATATAACGGCAATGATGACGATGATGTTTCATTTGCCGATACAACTGCTGATGAGAAAAGCCCTGAACCAAATAACGTTATCAAAATTAAGAGTGTTTCCAACGGTTTTGCGAAGATCTTTGGACTCGAGTTCATAACACCCGTTGAGCTGTCAACGCAGGGGATAGGTTTGGTCTTTTTTATTGACAACATGAACCACTTCCTTCGAATAGCGAATAATAGAAAAAGTAAATGGACAATAGCAAGTAGTGAATATACTAAGCTCGTCAAGAGTTTCAATATAACGTCTGTCAAAAGTACAAGAGTGCTTGCTATTTCATCTTTCGTGGGCCACGGAAGGGAATATCGAGGGCACTTTGATATGGCTTTTACGACTGTGCCATGAAATCTCCTTGGATAGGATGTAATTATGGTAGATGCGATAGGGAGAGCTGACTTGTTGGGATCCTCTTGAAAAAGCGTTTGTAATTGTTCAAAGCACGAAATTATCGGTAATGAACCATTTCCATGCAATTTTTCCTTTTCGTTGGCACTTTTAGGGTGACCTGTTGGCAGAGAGATTCCTGAATTTATAGCAAGAAAGGTCGGAGAAACGTTTACTTCCTCAATCCTGGGGTACTCACTGTTCCGCAATGTTCCAAAAAGAAACCTAGAAGTCACTTCATCTAAAAAAAAAAGTTTGAAATATGACAGAAATTGATTTGGAATTGTTTCCTTGATTTTCCTATAAACAAAAGCAAATATGCTAATCATCATTGCATGCGGGGCTCATCTAATTGCTAAAATATAAGCCACATTTCTTTTGTTTCTTATTCGGAACAGTCTTTCGACTCAGGCAATACAGAGTTGATAATATTGTTGTGGTGTCAAGGATTAATCAATATCTCTGTAACCGGGGTAGACGACATCGCGTTTTTGACCTGTGTTTACAAAATGAGAATTGAACGTTTCTTCCAGAAGTTTCGAATAGCGGTTTCATAGCGAATGTGCCATTCGTATGTACACCATTGATCCTACATATTAACAGTAACGTATAACATGATAAACCACGACAGCTTTCTTACTTGAGCTTCTTTTAGTTGGTTGCTAAGCAGCACTGTTCGTCTGTGATGAAAGTAAAGCTATAGTGTTAAAAAATATGTATGCGATACCTGCACTGTCTGACTCAGTCCTTTGTTTGTTTTATTTTCCATTTCCGGCCTTATATTTCCTTCGCTGCGGTAGTAAAATCACGATGCTTGTTGCAGAAAGTTTGTCGATTAGAAAAAGCAAGTAGTTGACAATAATTCAACACCGAGTTGCCTTGCGCGCGACGTTGGTTATGTGGCCGAAAAAAAAAATCAGAGGTGTTGAATGAAAATGTTACCTTGCTTCCGTACTGCATCTAACTGTCCTAATGCAAACTTGGCGATATTCCAAAGAGGAAATGACGCTTGAAGGAATCAGATGTGAAGTTTTGATGTGAATTGGTTTTAATAGAAATGAGTAGAGATATTCCACCTCATCTTAATTTGACGTAACTCGACAAGCCGTCCGTCGTGTATTTCAGTATTGAAACCTCGCAGTGTTATAATCAAGGACAGAGCACAGAACAAACAAATTGAAATCAAAAAATTCATAAAATCTTTGATTTGAAGTCGGATAGATGAGCTTGAAACTACGACATTGATCACGGATAGGAATTGTTGGGCTATTAAAACATTCAAAATTGATCTAATACATTACATCGACCAAAATGATTTATTAAAAAAAACCACCTGCAAGGTATTTTAGCAAAGAATAAAATCGGCGCGAATATGAATCCATATCATTTAGCTCAATATTTTGATCATTGGGTTGGCTGGAACCGAACGAATCGAACCTTGTAAGCATACAATCTGTGTCATTGTCAAGTTTGCGAGTGACCCCGTTTTCATATCTCTATATGCTAAACCTTTGAAGCTAGACAATTTCAAGGTTTCGCGTCGCTGACCGTAGTTTTCCGGTTAGTTTAAATTAGCACTTCCTTGAGTATTTATTTCACATTCACAAAAAGCCTATTTATGGAACGGACTTATCGATGACTCTTCAAAAAAATGAAACGGGAAACTTCTCCGCTGAGGTGTTTGAGCTAATCTCAAGCTATGACGACAATTTTATGTTTTTTCATGTTTCATTGTCAGTTTCGAACTAATCATGTACTGAATGGAGACTTCTAATGAAAAATACTGAAAACCTGATTGATAACAGAAATGCAATCTTGATGGTTGTTCGGAAAAACGAAACAATCACGTCCTTGTTCATTCATAATCACAGCAGCAGTGAAATCGTACAGAAATGTTTATATTTTTGAAAACTGCTATAATAAGATCATGCAAATTTGAGTAAGGAATAATGGAATAATAAATACGTATCATTTTGGCCCTTAGCTTCTCAGTCTTGAGGAAAGAATTTTATTATGGTAAACACAATAAAAAATTCGTCAATATTGTTCTCATCACTGCTGTAGTTCTCGTTAGCTCCCTACTTGTCTTCCGTACTCATAACTATTAGTGTTAAAAAAATAACATTGGGAACACTTCAGCACTGAACTACACATAACCTTTATCATACCTTGAAATCGTACAGCCAAGTACAACAGACCGCAATGATACAGGATAAGACCCATTCGTGATTTGATCATCGTACGCTAAAACGTTTGACTATTCAAGAATAACCGTTTGTTGTTGTTCCTCGACATTTTCGTTTACCCATTATGCTTATGTCATTTTTGCATTAAGGTGGTCGGTTCGGCGGAGCAGTTCAGCGGTGCTTCACGTTACCGTCTGTTTATTCTGGCTGTTTTTGATTGATTGCCACCCCATAAGACAGGTACTGACAGGTGTCCGTATCCATGGAAACAGCATATAAACGGAATCTTACTATGAGTATGATAGAAAATGAAACCCTCCGTAAAACAACCGCAAAGTTTACTAGTGAATATTCTAAATTTTCCTTTTTTTTAGTGCGAATTCGCACACTTATTAAATGACAAAAAATTACCCGTGCAGAATTTGCAACATACTTTTAAACATTCGTCTTTATGTTGGGTGTTATACTTCAATAATTAATTAAGGAACCATCTGCAGCCCTAGCTTATGATATCACATTGGTTTTAAATAAAACAAAACACTCTTGTATAGAGCTTCTTTAGAATTAGTTATTACATGACACAAACCATTAAAAAGGGTCGTGATAAACAAAAGATCGCGAAAAATTATAATTATCCTGAAAATCTCATTGTATAAAATTTCATTTAAGTTGCACCATGTTTGGCCATGTTTATCGTTTAACTATTCAAACCATAATAACATGACAACCCTGGTCTTCAATCCCCGTAAAAGATTAAAATAAAAAACCTTGGCCCCGGTTGTTCGAAGGTTGGATAGCGCTATCCACTGGATGAAACTCTATCCGGCGGATAACGCTATACGTTTTGCCATCACTTATCCGCCGGGTAGCGATTTATCCGTTGGATGGCATTATCCGCCCTTTATACAACTGAGCCCTGGCTGTTAAAACTCGCTGCAATATTTTAAAATTCATTGGCTTTTTTTGGGATGAAATATTATTTGTTCAGCTGCTAAGTGTGGAAATTTTAGTCCTACCATTGTTTTCAGATATGTTTTTGAGTAGATTAAATCACAAATATTATTCTAGATCTGCTGCAGCAGCAAAGCAGCAACATATTGAAAGAAACTCATTTGATTCAAGGCTCCTTGTCTCTCGCTCAGCGTTGTATCCTCGTCTTTCCCCTTAAAAACGTCCCAATTTAAATTTTGAAATCGAACAGTTGCAGACAGGTGTTTGATTTTTATGCTTGACAAAACAAAGTGCTTCTGGCCCGAGCATTTTAAGGACTATAGACAGAATAGCCGCAGTTTGACTCAAAACAAACTCAACACAGTGTCGAGACACTCAACCACAATGAACACTCAGTCACAGTACGGCTACAGTTACCTCAAACCCACGTTGTATTACAACAACAGCAACATCAACATCGACAACAATCTTTATTTGTACTAAAATTTTGTTTATAAGCTATTGCAAGAAAACATTGATTATAAAATTGGCGTACTGGCTGCTTTGAATAACCATAGGTGATAGAGCGGCTAGGCAGCACACCTGCAAGCGAAACTGCCGAGAAAGCACGGTTTTGGAAACATGTCCTTTGCTCTTTCTGTATATAAACTCCTTTCTTCCAGTTATACTACAATTCGCCTTGGAGAGGAAAATACTACTATGTCAGCTTTTACTGCAGTGTTTCAACATCTGTATCAAAATACGAGGTAAATTTATAAAAAAAAAAATCGACTCTGGTTTTGTCCTTCTCTCCAATGGAGTAGCTCTGTTAGAAAAAGATGGATAAGTACCAGATAATGATGATGCAGTTAGCCTTCATACATACAATTTCTAACACTTCTTGCTTTCACTTCTTGCTTTAAATGTAGCTAAAGAGGACTTTATCTTTGTAATATCTCTAAACGTTTTGCAGCGGACGGTGTGTAGCTCCTTAACGGCTTTAAGCGGATTGAAAAATTATTTTCAAACGTGCGATTGAGGATATAACTTTATTTTTTCTCTCTGGCACGTAACATTTCAAAGTTACATTTCACATTAGATTTAAGGGGGTAAGTTTCTAATGAAACTGGAGTGCTGCGTCAGTGGAAGAGTATAACAGGTTAATTTGGTATCATCAACTGAATTGATAACGTACATTGGCCATTGTAAAGAATTTCAAAGCTGACGTTTCAAGCAGACGTCAGAGCTCTGATGAAGGGCAAACGCTCGAAACGTCAGCTATGAAACTCTTTACAGAGGCCAATTAACGTCATCGACTCGGTTGATAATACTAAATTACCCTGTTACATTTAACATAGCTCCATATGCCCCTTTTATTGGTTGATCTTAGATAAATTGTCTCACCGTGGCACAGCATTATGGAACTCGACCTCATGCCAAACCTGCAGCTAGGTGGGGAAGTTTTAATAGCAGACAGCGAGGGAAATTCTGAGTTAGTCAATGTATCTTGAAATTATTAAACGAGCATCTTTCATCTTCTTTTTTTGCCAGTAATAACATCGAGTCAGTTATATAGTCGAAGTGTCAATCATATGGTGACAGTCGCAATTATAAAGTTCTTTGAGACAATCCCATAAGCAGATATAGTCTCTCATAACGAGAATCAGACTATTAGCCCTCTGGGCGTTACTTTCAGTAAGGCATTGTGTACACCACTGTTCATCTTGTCTTAAATCCTTCTACCCACAGTTCCTCCAACAAGTTTTTCTGTTTTTCAGGACATTCAAGGCTTCTTAACCCCAAAAGTGTTCACCACTATGATCTTATCTGCTTTGAATCAGGGAATTAGAAGTCTTGTTGGCTCTGAATTGTATCTGTATTCACCAGCCCTTTGAACCATAACAAACATGCCTCTCTACTCCACACGAGTCACGCGTTTGCGTCGAATACTTGTCCACCAAATAATGACGGTACGTCCAATAATGCGCCCACTGTCAGCTCAGCGGCTTTCACAATTCTCTTGATATCAGCGTCTTTATCCTGCAGAGAATAACGGACAGAATTTCATGTCTTCGATTTATTTAAACTTCAAACAAAAATAGCATATAACGCCAAAGGCATGGAACGGAGACAAACTCAAAATCATTAACTACTTCAAGAATTGAAACTAAGTTAATAGGTTTAACGTTTCAGTGCCTTGATATATTTGGGATGCATGACCAGGAGACTTACGGTAGTCAACTTCAAGACGTTATCTCCCTGGATAGTCATCATGGATTGAGACCAACATGACACGTGACAAATCCTTGTCCATCATGACAATAATGGTCGATAATCATGGTATGTTTCTCAAACATTGCTCCCGTGAATACGAAGGTGTACTCAAATTAGGGCGTTTATTCGTAGACAAACATGGAGTGGTATAAACCAAACAAAGGCTCTGTATGGACTGCCACGAATCCACGTGAACTTCAAAACTCTTAACTGAGATCAGTTTTAATTTAGAACATAAACAAATGTTTGCTTCATAAACGTGTGATGAGATGAAAATAAAAATAAAAAGGAAACATACTTCGGGTTCGTTTGCACTGTTAGCGGGAACAAGCACACCGAAACAATTTACGCCTTGTTGCTGTAAACAGGACTGGAGATCTTTTATAGCTGCCTGTGGACGAAATAAACATGCGTTCTGATCGAGTTGATTAAGATCCAATTCTCTCACCACTTCATAACTTTCGGCTACCAACCAAGGACACTGTGTTTGGCGGTAAAAAACAGAAAATGGCCTTTGGAGTGAAAGTAGCTGAATAATTTGGACTGGTGGGGCAATAAATACTAATAAAAGGTAGTCGTTACCAGTTATAATCAAAATCCACCGATCAAATCCACTTGGTGAACTTATATCCTCTTAAATCCATTGAATGAAATAAAGAATTAGGAAAACTGAAACAGAAAATATGCAAAAGTAACCAACCAACAGAAGTCAACTAAAGATGCCAGAGCTCAGTTGAGGACAGTTCATGCCAAATTTGGATTTTCAACCTGCTTAGTTTTCACCTTATTACCAACCAGTATTCTCCACCTGAACGAGACATGGCGGACTGGCAGTTAGTGTGCTCGCCTGGGGCCATGGCCGGGCCATTATGCTGTATTTTTCGGTAGGACACTTAATTTTCACTATGTCTATGAAAACATTGTGCTGGAGTGGACTTCCTGCAATAGACTGGTATTCCATCTAGAGCGAGAGGTAATACTAACTCTGGCCTCATGATAACCGGAATAAGCTCTAACAGTGGCTCAAATCTGTGTCCTTCTGTCCACTTTCGGCAGTGTACAAAGATCTGAGCTCGTTATTATAATTCGTAGCGAAGCTTACCTTAAATGTATTAAAATCCTCAATACCGCGACGAAATCCAACATTCACCAGTCTTACACTTTTTAACAAACAGGAGTCGAGCGTCTCGCAGAATGATCTGAGAAATGACTGGATAACTGTTGTGCTGTGACCCTAGAAAGAAGAAATATAACAATGTATGAATGAAAATTAAGTTAAATCTGAAAAGCACTTCCAAGAAAAATGAAAATAATCAGAGCTGTTACATATAACTACCGTAGTAAGAATGGTTTAATCTGAAATAAAAGGATAGGATTTGGGTAAAAACAAAAGAAAAAATCAGATTTTTAATTCCAAATTTAGAACCGAAGGCACTGATTTCGAACATGTATATGACATTTAACTGATCTTACTTTATAAACAAGTAAAAAACTGTAATGTTTAACAGAGTGCTATCGATTGTGATCGAAACATATAAACTCTGACTCTCAGAGAATAAAAGGCATTCTAAATTCAGCATGCTAAATGGTAAGGCATTGTACCTTGCAAACTGCTTGTTCATCTGAGTGTGTGCTCTGCGTCACATAAACAACAGATACACAACAACCGGGAGCTATCTGTTTCAAGTTAATTTGGGATGCCTGTAATAACAGAACATGAAATGAGGTACGTCTGTAACAAAGTCAGTTTCCTCCACCTGGGCTACATAGAGAGGTGGAGCGTTATGACGCCATGATCAGCATGCAAGCATGTCAGCCTTATCAGCGCTTGGACCGCTTCTTTTACATCAACAAAACATTACGAAGTGGCGCTAACTTTCCGAAACAGCGAATAGAAGTTGACGTCCTGCAATGGACCAAATAGTGTATTTTTTATTTTTTTAAGACCGAAGCAAACTTGTTTGACGTTTATCTCTCTAGTTGGACGGTGAAATTAAAAAATAGGTATTATGAAAAAAAAAATTCTCAATAGGTAGCGAAGTGCTGCTAAGACTAAACTAACCAAACACTGCGCAGTATCTTGTGATAGATGTCCATCTGAAGATATGTCAGGAAGATACGTGACCTAGAAACACAATCATTTTAGAAGTCCAATGGTGAAGTATGTTGTTAAGCTTGACATTCCTAGCTGTAACATGAAAAACACTTACAAGACAACACATACCCAGTTATTAGAGTTACAGTTTTCCGCTGCAAAACCATCGCTCGAAACTGTCGTGCAGGATGAGAATTCTACAGAGTTGTCTTTTGAGGCGATTTTACTTTTATTTTTTCCATTTTTTTTTCTGGCAGGATAAGATTTTGGCGGTTCGAGACCACTGAAATTTTTTCTTGGACCTATTGTTACGACATTCAACTGATTCCAGCAGCAGAGCAATAACATGGTTGGAGAAAAACTTAATCGTCGAGTAATTTATGCTGCAGATGATTATTAAACAAATATTTCGAGAGAGTCTGGCTACGCAAAATACAAATTGACACTTAGATCGCGTGTGCAGTTTTACATTCGGCTAAAGGCGACACGTATCGGTCACATCTTGCGGCATCTACACGAGCATATACTGGACGATTGAGGACTATCGGAAAAATATTCTTCAATTAAACTCCACGCAATGTTCCGGCATGCCATACAGGTAGAGAAGAGACACTTCTCAGCGCACCGGTTCAAGAAACTCCTAACTTGGACCTGCTACGGTCATCTCATCATCACCGGTAGGGGATAGGGCGCTTCTGACTAATGCTTGGTTCGTTCAGACACATGGCTAGAAAAAACACATTCACTGTGATTAAAACAACCCAAACGTACCATTTCATCTCTCTCTTGCAACTGTTCATGCAGCTTTCCCGCGAACTCTGGGAAGTCTGTTCCATTAATCACCAACAGCACTTGCTGTTGCTTTTCTGTGGAAAACAATCCCCGAATCAGTTATTGTAAAGAGATAAATCATGTATTCCTGTACAACACATGTACCCCTAGATTTCTACTTAGATTTCTACATATACACAGATCAACTCTGGCAATCCGACCTTTCTGTTGAATGTCAGTAAGAGCATATCCTTTTTAATTTTGTTTTTTCTTAACTCAATTAAAAATTGGATCATACAACAAACAAAATTTGCGCACCTTTCAAGACTCCTTCGGCAGAATACAAATCCTTTCTGTGGGTAACCTATAAATATACATGCATGCGATCAAAGGTGACTCGGAGCTTGGATAAGTAAGACTTCTATCAGAGTTCAGAAGAAAATGACTCATTTAACAAATTGATTCCAAACTTTCGTGTGTCTGTTAAATAATTAATCAAAAATGTCGTAAGATGCGTTAAAAAAAGAGCGCATGAAGAGAAACAGTGGCAAACCAAGCACAGCCGTACGTGTCACCGATGTTCTCACCGCTCGTTGACATCTTTTTAAATCTAGTACCGAAGAGGCACATGCACATGGCATCATGGAGTATACTTATCTTACATAATAGAGAAGCAAACTTTTGCTCAGTGACGTCATCTATGCACCGGCCCTCTGACAGATCATTAGTAAGAGCCAATCAAAATGCGTGTATAACTCAGCTGACTACATAACATGATATAGCATTGGAGATGACATCATCATTTGAACAATTAATCTCCTCACTCCCAGATCTCATTATTAATTATCTGAACTGCCTGCCATAGTCTGCCATGTTACTTTGGAGAATTTGGTACTGGATCAACTATTAATCCTTCAATAGAAATTTTTCTTTATTCCCACCAATCGTCTGCTTGATACTGTACTGATATTGTAAGGAGAAATTCTGTCTTGGTGACCCATGGAAATAAGAAGTTAAACTTCAGGAGTAGTGGAACATCCGCAAACAATTCATGGCGCTTGACAAAAACTAAACTAGAGGAGGTACCAATTGAGGTTTAAAGCTTCGTGAACTTTGTAGCTTTCCAAAGAGATGGTTTGGATATCAACTCAATCTGCCAATTTTCCTTGTTACTTCATCAGTGACCAATCACAGGCTGATCCAAAATTTTACTCTTCACCAACATGCTTTGATTGTGATAGTGAACATGTTAAAATGTAGATGCCCTTCACTTAACATTTAGCCATAACTTGAATGGGAAACTAAGAATAAATTAAGCCTTTACACCTTAAGATTGATATGCATATTCTCCATACTGTTCTCTGTCCATTTGCTATGTTACTGACAAGGAGAATTTGTTCAACAATTAGGAGCATCTATGGTGAGTGATCATTTCTTTAATTCTCATGGCCTTAATATTTCATTCAACAGTGACACATTAAGGAGACTGAGATAAGATGCCAACAACTCTTTGGGGTTAGAGTGTATGATTCTTGTCATGATTGGTGTTAATGGCTGTCTTTGCACCAGAAGTAAAACTAATAACCTTCCAAAGAAACTCAGGTCCATCAATCAACAGAGCATTTGTATCAGCATACTTTTGAGCCAGGTGTAAACACTCTGTGCCATAATCAAAGTCATATTCTGTGCACTGAAAGATGAAAAAAAAACATACCATGAAAAAATGAAAATAAGTATCTGTGTTGAAGCTATATTGAGAATGAACAATTCACATCATCTAAAAATTTTAATGGAGCAGAGAACTAATTTTTAATCTTAACTGAAAACCAACTGTGAGCAAGGTATCAAATAAACAAAAAACAGCCTAAAGTGATGCCCTACAGGAAATGAAAAGAAAACACACTCAAATTGCAAGCATAAAAGCATTATTTTGATCCAAACCTTCATGTAGGCTTTCTGAATGACTTCATATTTGAAAGCTTGTGGCATTTCACTTGCCCTGAACTTTGACCTATGTGCAAAGGTCATATTACATAAGAAATTTGACAAATTGGTATCAATGTCCTCTGACATCTCCAATCAAGACTGCCTGATTATAACAAAGATCCATTCAGAAATTCTCTATCTTGAAATATACCAAAGTTTGAAAGAAGTCCTGTACATGGTATCAGTTGGAGACCAAGATTTGGAACACATGACTAGAGATCAGTTAACCATGCATAGGTTGGGTGAGGTTAAAAAATAATGACATTTATTTGGAATTATCTGATCAGCCTACAGATGCTAATTATAATTATGATGATGCCCTAATTTTCCTGAAGGGTAAGATACCAGCTTGTTTAATCAAAACTGGGGCAATTGACAGCTCAATATATTCATCTAAATTTGGTATCAAGTGATGACAGCCCTGATGACTCAGAGTCCACCCTTGCATTCTTCAATGCACTTCATATTCAATGTGGAGCATCTGGACTGCTTCAATAGCTGTGAATGCTAATCCCACATTACCTGTCAAGTGAATGATCTAGGAACCCATCACACAACTGAGCAACAACTGTAGATGAAAGTGGTCTGATCATCCCAGCTGCCTGAGGAAGAATTAACAAAAACAGACCTAAATAAGTTGACAATATGGAATCATCATCCACAAATCACAAGTTCACTTACACCATGCTTTTTAGCTGCCATGGTCACATTCCTTAGAGTTTGTTCATCAACAAATGGCCTTACAGCATCATGAAGAATTACCTTAAACAGAAAAAAATTATGGCAGCTGTTTCCATTGGAATTCAAGGAACATCATTTAAGGATCACATTAACTGTTCAAAGTCTTATGCAATCCTCATTTTCAGTTTAAAACAATCATTAACATCTGAAATCCTCTCAGAAGTTTTATTGTGTTTGACCCATCATATTGGCTGAGCTCCAATTATTCTTGGATAGCATGATTGAAACAAAGTCTCTAAATTTTTAAGTCTTTAAAGCAATCTACATGAAAGAAACAGTTTAAGAAACAGCATTAATTTCATAGCCAAACATTTGTAACATTTCATTGGTGTTTGTTTGTCTTCTAATCATAATTTCAAATATAATTCATCCAAATATACCCACTTCATACAGAAATCATTAGAAGCAAATCAAGAAATTTCCACTGCTAAATTATTATTATCATTATTATTATTAGTATTATCTTTAATTGATTACATTGCGTAAACTCCAGAGAAATTAGTCTAATTTATGACTTGTAGTAGTTCTAAAAACATTGGGGTTAATCTTTTAAACTCCATACAGTATAGCAATAATACACAGTTGTGTTTATAAAAAAAAATGTATAAATGATTTGAATAGCAGTAAATAACCATTACATAATTTGAAAATGATCACTAAGATTATTGCATTTACCATTTTCACTTACTACTGTTGGTGAACCTCTTCCATCTGCAGTGATTGCTTGAATACCATTCCATAATGATCTGTGTCTATTTACAGATGAGGAAGATGAAACAATATACCCTTACATCAGCTTGAATACTCATTTCTTGAAATAATAACCCACAGTGTTACTAAGCCTCTTGCAGGATGAAATTAATCCTAATCAGTCCTGCTTTCCATCCTGCTCTACCATGTCCATCCTACCAAATCCTCCCCCTTATTGGTCAAGAATCCCACCTCTTTCATTTTCTAACCTGTTTGAGGTTCCCATAGTTCTGTCCTATTGAACTAAATGCAAAGCCAGGGAAATTATTTCAGGGAAACCTAACTCAAAAAGCCATCTCTGCACCTCAGCCTGAAATTATTCACTCTGAACTTCAGGAGTATAGAATCACTCAGAGTGTGATTATATTTTAAACTGACCTTGTGGACCCTCCATAAACTAATCTGACTTTACTGTGATTAAAGTCTTTCAAAATCTGTAGAACAGTACAAAAAAAAGGATAACATCAATAAATGTGTATACTATGAACACACATATAATAATATTGATTTACGAAAATTGGTTTACAGCCCACAAATTATCCTGTTAATACTAGTTGAATCATGAGAGACACAGAGGTATAGGACTTAGTCTGCTGGACTCCAGGTTGAGATTTCTAGGTTTGAGATCTGGTTGGTCGTTGTGCTGTGTTCTTGGGTAAGACATTTTACACTCACAGTGCCCCTCTTCACCCAGGAGTATAAATGGGTTTTGGCAAATTGTCAGGGAAGCCCAATAAAATGCTGGTGGTAATCTGAAATGGACTGGCATCCCATCCAAGCGGATTGAGTAGTAATACATCCTTTCACTTCATGCTACAGAAACTGGGACAAGCACCAGCTGGATAGACCCCTAGCCTCAAGTGAAGACTTTACCAAACAGCTAGATCAATCCAACACCAAAGAGAAAAATGATCTCTACAATAAAGTCTGGTGGCTTGCTGTCACTTAATATTTTAATGATAGGCATTACCTGCTGTGCTTCCTTTATATAGTTTACATTGATGGGAACAACAACTTCCCTGATCCATGACACACTACAGTGCAAAATATCACTGTTAAGATTAAGATTATGAAAAAAGACACACCCACTGAACAAACAGTCTTGTTATTTCACAGACTTCACTTTAAGTTTGACCCATTGACTCTTCATTTCACAAAGTTTTGGCCACTTTCTGGTCCTCTGCCACAAATCAAATACTTGATTGACAAATCTACCTTCATTTTGTTTTGCTCACCTCATGATTTTAAAAGGCAGAAATTATCTTGGCCAAAATTCAGAAATTTTGACCTCCCATCTATCAAATTGCTAGTGCACTAATATAGGAAACAAACTTTGATATCATAAAGGTTTACCTTTCAAATGCTGCCAAGGTGTAACTGATCAATGGCCTTTCTTTAATTTCACAAAACTTAAAAAAAAAGACAGCAGTCAAATAGAGGCTGTCAAACTTCTTAAGCATAATTAATTTAGCAATCTTCAATATACTGAGAGTTCTCAGAATATAACTCATTCATTAGATATTTCATCTCAAAGGCCACTGCTTCATATGTTCTACTTATATAAAGCTCATCGTTGTCAGCTTCTCGGGCTGCAAGGATAATTCTAAATAAAACAATCTACTATCATGGGAAACCCCACCCGCCTCCATCCCCACCAATAAACATCCACCTCCAACTGACTCAAGTTTTGAAGTAATCAGTGTCAGGGAAGATAGGCGTTTCTCCATTAGAGTGTTTTGTTCCCCTTTATTGGTTGGGACACTTAAAACCACCTCTAAAAGTACAGTAGCTTTGACTAAGGAAATTATAAAATATGTCTAAGGGGGGTATAGGTTCAATTTTCATTATGCCAGCATAATTTTGGGCATAATGCATTAAACTGCATTTCTAGTAATTTTATAACGAAAAAGTTTTCAGGATCGTCTTCAGCGTCTCATTCTGTCATTTTTTCGGGTAGTCATTTCAAAGAAGGCCTGGTTACTATCTCACATGCTCATGTAAAAAAATGTCGTTTTAAAGTGCAGTAAGACTTTTATCTACCCCTAGCAAGTTTCACCCGTCGGTGGAAGGGAGGGGTAGTGGGGGTTGAAGGGCTCTTAAACGCTCCTAAATAAATAAAATGAGTTATTAAATGGAGCATAATGAAAAATCTACCAAAATTTTGGGCATAATGCTATGTTTTAGGGGTGACGCTCAAAAGCATAATGCTCGAATTTCCGAGCATAAGATATTTGCCCTTACAAAAAACAGTGCATTCCGATATTCAAGAAGTATGCCAAAGACGATCTACAGACTTGCCAATGTATCAAATCAAGTACTTTTATTAAATATTATTTAATTTTTACCTGCTTAGGGAGTCTCAAGTTCATTCTCACTCCGGATCCACCAGCTGGTAACACGGCCACAACATCATAACACACCGGTTCCTTGGCATCCACGACAGCCGCCATTTTGCTTTTGAAAACACTCTCGCTCTAGCCCCCTCGCGGCCAAGTCCGAGGGCAAAACTTGGCGTTTTGAGATAGTAAGACAATATGCCGCAATTTCCGTTTGCCCTCCACTCTCCACCCAAAACCACTCATCCTACATTGGTTCACAAGGTCAACTAATCATCTCTTCGACGGAAAAGCGATACTTCACTTTAATCACGTTCGTCCTTGTAGAAATATTACCTGAGGTAGGTTGGTGACAAGGCCATTTCAAGCATTTAAAGGGAGGATGGGAACTATTTCTATTCATTTATCCTCTTACGGTCTTCTTTATTTGGGCCTCACAACAGCGCATAATTTGCATCTCCAATCATATGCCTTCATCTAAAACGTGTCACAGAACAGTTAACTGCGTGCGTTAGGATGGGCTAGGTCGACAGGAAGTTTGTTGAGTTACGAGTTCCGGTTCCAGACTTTTTAGCCTTCACAACGATTTTCAGTCTTCTGCATTAAAAAAAGCAGTACATGATGAGTGGACGGAGGGTTACACAAAAGAGCATGACTTACCTTTGCATGACGTTTCGGTCTAATGGTCATGATCAGCTCAGAGCTCGAGGGCTCAACTAGCATTATATTGATAACAAAGACAATTCACAGTTAATTACTGCGAGGATCACTTGCATTCACAATTCACAGTGTTATCTACCGCGACTTAGAAAGACGCCCATCGGACGAACATGGAAATCAAAGCTGAGGTAAGATAGTTATTTGACTCGTTGGGTTTTCACCTCGTTGCTCTTTTAAATCGCAACATTCCGTCGGCTGTATAGTAAGAAGAACATGCCAAAATATGAGAAGAGTTTATGACACTAAAGTCTTGCGTTCTTAGTGTCTCTCGAGTCTCGCAATTTTGTATTTTAACATTCGCCACCCCCACACGAGGCGACTGCAAAAACGTTTCTCCACGAAAGTCAGCAAACCCTAAAAGATTCTTAGAATCGGCCATGATGAAAACAAAAACAATTGTCAAAGTCTCTACGATTTCTATAGACATCGAAGCTTCAAGAAATAATACTAACATGCCTCAATCGGCGGGAACTGTAAACATAGTGATTAAAACAAAAATAAAATAGGTGAAATATATAGTAACATCTTTATACCGTAACGAGAATTGACTCTAAAGTGTAGTCAAGGAAGGCTTTTTTTTCTGCAAAACAACTGCTAATATTTAGTTCGAAGGAGTCTCACAATAACAGAATCCGAATTTTAAATCACACGGCGTCGCTGGAGGCATCGACTTACTCGAATTTCACAGGATTCCCTCACTTTGACAACAAGTTATACATTGGCGAAAGAGGAAGACGACGAGGTGACCCATTCCGAACACCTTCGCGACGTGGAAAGAAATGACAAGGACGCATCTAAACTAGTCGCTAGATACTTTAATCTCCCTAATCATTCAAAACAGCATATGACAGTTTGCGGCCTTTCCTTACATCTAGGCAGTTCGGAAAGCCGCAAAACACTAGAACAAAAATTTATCTTTCAAATCGGCACCCTTATCCCCACAGAATCAACGAGTGCTTTTCATTCAACTAATGTATTCCTGAAATTAAAAGCTCCTCGCAGCTAAGAACACTACTGAACGAGTAGTTGAAAATAGGACCTGAAAAAAATTCAGGCCCGTACGGGAGAGATGAAATTAAGAGCTCCTCGAAGCTCCTCACAACACTTCACCGCAGTGCAAATATATGAATTCCGTATATCTAAAATCATCATTCATCACCTGGATGGTTTATTTGGACCCAACACATTGAAAATTACTAATAACCATTCAAATTATTCCAAGCATTTTCAGGAAGGAAACTAAGTAGTTACTACGCAAACAACACAGCCCCTTAGAGACCCCTTGAATATCGATTTGTAATTGGCTCAAAGATGGATGTCTCAATACACTGGTGTTCGTCGGCTAAAAAAAAAATCACAAGCTTTGAGCGCTAATTAAATATGCTTTCTACTAAACAGCATTTCACAAATGAGTAAGTAAGAAAAGAACAATCAAGAAAGCAGATTCATACTTAACAAAACTTATGGTCTACAATAAACCAATCAATTCGCTCAAGCACGGTACCGGGACCTATCAGTAGAAGAATTGTCTAGATACCTAGCCGCTGTTCGGGATAAAAGGAGAAACAGATCAGAGAACGGACTTTAGAGAACAGCAGAGGGAAAACAGTCATGAGAGTCTTGAGATCTTTTCCCCATTCCCTGTTTGAAATAATAAAGTGCACTTTGTGTGGCGGTAATTTTTGTAACATGGGTAGAAACAGCTGATGCTTCAGAAATAACAGCGGTTACTGAGGTACTGTTGTAAAGCTTTGTGTGTTGTTTGAAATTTTTTTGTCTCACAGCCAGGAGAAACTAAAGAGGAGAGAGAGACAGGCAAAGGGCTGACCTACTCTATAGACGATACTCCACCATGGTACCTCAGTATCGTGTTGGGATTCCAGGTAGGGCAATTTATCAACACCAGTCCCTTAGCATCTCAGTTCCATCAAAATTTTAGTTTTTATGGTTCAATTTAATGAACAGGATAAGGGCATTTTATCATATTGTCTTGCAGCATTACTTGACCATGTTCGGTTCAACACTGGCGATTCCTCTTGTTTTAGCCAAGCCCATGTGCTACGACCAGAATCCGTTAGCTACAAGTGAGATCATTGGCACCATATTCTTCGTATCTGGAATTTGTACCTTATTGCAAACAACTTTTGGAAATAGGTAAAAGGCAGTAATTATGATAGCAATTAAATAATGTTTGCCCGCTCATTTTTAGGTTGGAGGTGAGACGGACAGAAAAACGCACGCAAAATACGGGAGAGGTCGAACAAAGTTCCCCTAACTACATCTGAAAAATACTTAAATCGTCGACAGACCGAGCCAAATTCTACTTCCTACTCGCTTCTTCTTCCCATCTTTGCTATTATAAACTTATATTGGCTAAAAACTCTTGACAATAGAAATTTCATAGATCGTATGAGCTTTAGCCATGATTACATTCTTTCTTTTCAGACTTCCCATCGTCCAAGGCGGCACCTTCTCGTTTCTTACACCTACTTTCGCTATTCTAAGTCTTCCTCAATGGAAATGTCCCTCTCCTCCCTCAACGGCAATAGCACCAACAGGTAACACTGATGAAAACTGGTCCTGTTGTAATGTTTGCGAGCAGGGTCTCATGGGTACTGTAACAGTAACATCCCAGTAAAACGATTTGCTTGTGGGCCACCTGTTGTTCAGAGAAAGCTTGAAAGCCAACTCGTAATGGGTGCAGGTTTTGGTTTTTATAGGGAATATCTTATAGGGAATATCAATTTCCATCTGATTCTTGAGAGTCTATTGACCTAATCCAGAGCTACATGCTTATTTACTAATTTTAATCAAAGTGATATGTCTCTTCCACGAAAGTTTTTTTTTTTTTTTTGCGTGTAGTTTGCTTTAAAATATACTATCAGCAGATGAGTAACAAGAAATCACCATCAAAAGAGAAATCGCTTTTTCATTTCTTTGTTTAGGAGCGGTCAATTTAAGTACTACAGCCTCACTCTTGAACGTCACCACAACTCCACCAAGTCCATCTGTCCTTGACTACACTGACATATGGAAACCAAGAATGAGAGAGGTACCTTGAACCTAGATTCACTGGAAACTTAAAATAACTTAAATTACATGAAGGCTGGCTTTAGAAAAAGTTCACATTGTTTTCCTGTTCCTAAACCTTTCTTTTATCTCTTTTTATTGTGTCTTTGTAGATCCAAGGAGCCATCATGGTAGCATCTCTGTTTCAAATTTTCATCGGCTTTACTGGTTTAGTAGGGTTTCTTCTTCGTTTTATTGGACCGCTGACTATCGCTCCAACCATAACTTTGGTTGGATTAGCTTTGTTTCAAGCTGCAGCAGATTTCTCGGGTGCGTGTTAATATCTTATAGCATGTTCTCTTGCACCGTGTTGGTTTCAGAGAGGCCTTGGGTATGACCGTTACAAATAGCACTCGAATTATCATGCATCATTTTATACCATGTACATGTGAACATAGATATTTTCTCTTGATCTCGTACCATTTGTATTATCACAAATAATCCTACACATTTTAAATTTTGGGGATTTATCAGTTTGTCCTCTACCCGCCAAAATAGGGTCCACAGGAAAAGTTTCGTACAAAAAAAACAGGCTTAAACCCTCTTCTAAATAAAGTAAAGGGGAGAAGGAAAGGAAAAAAGGCCTCTATTTGAGTTTGCTGTTATCAGTCACTCCTTTGGGACTGTCATGTCCTATCTTGTAAGATGGTTATAAATAGTTCAGTCATATGTCTCAAATAGGTAGAGTGTGCGGCAACTCAATAAGTGATAAGGGTTGATTAAAGTTTGTTATTATTACAGGTATCCATTGGGGTATATCTATTACGTAAGTAAAAAGTTTGAGATGAATAGCTTAATAATCATTATGATTTTAATCCGTCTTCAGCCCTGATTTCAAGCCTTCAATGCATGTTTTTGATTCTCAGTCATTTTCTCTCGCTATCATTCAACTACACTGATCCACAACCTTAAAAGTTTCAGTACTAAACCATCAACATGGCGATCGTCAATTTTAGATGAGCATCACAAACTTTTTATTTATCATTTTATACATTTATTTATTCCAGAACCATTTCGCTTATTACAGTATTCTCTCAATACCTAAAGAATGTCAAGATACCTTTTCCTGGCTATTCAAGGGACAAAGGGATGTACATGGCCAGATTTGCGTTATTCAGAATGTTTCCGGTCAGTTGCAACATTATTTATTTGTTTGGGTAGATTAAAGTTTTTACATCCGTCGTGCGCATCGTGCGAGACCTGAGCAAGCCCCACCTTATCAAAATTTGCATAATATTTTGACTAACAGACAAATTTCATGAAACGAAATCATACCATATACGAACTCGGCAGATGAATGACGAGACACAAACAACGCTGACTGCGTCATTATGAAGTATGCCTCAGCTTAATCCTCACTTTCAGTATTTCATTGTCCTTCAACTATTCGAGATTAGGCACCTTTATTCAGTTTTTAGCCGTAGAGATTTCGTTATGTATTTGTTAGAAACTGAACTAAGCACTCACTTGATTGTTTAGCAATTCCTCAGGAGTTTTTGATTTTAATAGTAAAATGCTTGTTCTGGTTCAGAGACTTCAGCGGAACATTTTCAGCGATACAGAAGCACGCTTCTTTCCTTTTGTTTTAATCTCTAAAAAGGGAAGTCGCATTTTAAAGTCAAAGTCATTCTGTTGTTCCGTTTGTGTTTTAATCTTAGATCCTGCTGGGGATCATCTTATCGTGGATCATTTGCGCCATTGTCACTGCTGCTGGTGGATTTACTGATGACCAGAACAATCCACAGTACCAGGCAAGAACAGACGCTAGAATTTTCGTTTTGAAAGAGGCAGAGTGGTTTAGATTCCCGTATCCCGGTAAGAGAAATAAAAGATCAGCACGTATATTTAAGACTTAGTTAGAAGAGGGTATTTCGCGCGCCGCTGTACGTCAAAGTCATAGACTATAGAGTGTACGTCAAAGTAAAGTTCTCTATTCTGACCCCTTTAACTTATGATACCGCAATGAATTTTGGTAGTCTATGACCCCGCTCACGAACCTTTATCTCAGGTTGCCCTTGCGCTGTCTCACGATTAATGGTTTCGCTATTTACAGTAGTTTCTTGGGGATATGACAGTATAAAGAATTAAAGACCTAATATTAAGCAATGAACAGAATATACAATGTTAAAGTATTTGCATATATCTTCAGTTCTGTATATTACTGCGATGATCTTCCTGCAATAAAAATCTTTTTTCCACACTTCAAAGTTATGATCTCTATGTATTTCTTTTGAACTTTTCTTTTAATGTATGTTGAGCAACATATTCCTGTCAAATTTAGGTCAGTGGGGCACACCCACTTTAAGTGCTGCTGGTGTGTTTGGGATGCTGGCCGGGGTACTAGCCTCCATGATAGAGTCCATTGGAGACTATTACGCATGTGCAAGATTAGCAGGGGCTCCACCTCCGCCGAAACACGCCATAAACAGAGGCATTGGAATGGAAGGGATAGGCTGCCTACTGGCTGGAGCCTGGGGTAGCGGAAATGGAACCACCTCTTACAGTGAGAACATAGGAGCGATTGGTATCACAAAGGTATTCGTGTGTCATCATTCACCTCGTGTTACAAGTTTTCCTAGTAGAGCTTAATATGTTGACGTTATTCGTTTTCAGGTTGGCAGTCGACGTGTTGTACAGTACGGAGCTCTAATAATGATCCTACTCGGGATACTCGGCAAATTTGGTGCCTTGTTTACCACTATTCCAAACCCCATAGTGGGCGGAGTATTTATGGTCATGTTTGGAATGATAACAGCGGTCGGTATTTCCAATCTTCAGTTTGTGGACTTGAATTCTTCCAGAAATCTCTTTATCCTTGGTTTTTCATTGGTGTTCGGAATGGCGCTTCCCTATTGGCTGTCTCGAGAGGAGAACAAGGACGTAATACAAACAGGTTTGCTTCAATTTCAATCATTTCATTACAGACAGACGTTACCAGTTTGTCTTGTTTGAGTATAAGCGATGTCGGAACTCCATATCATACGATATTTACATTATTCCTTAGGTGAACCCGAGCTCGACCAGATTATTACTGTGTTACTACGAACCAACATGCTGGTTGGTGGAATTACAGGTCTTCTACTTGACAACACAATTCCGGGGTCACGTGAGGAACGAGGTATGCTGGTATGGAACAGTAAGGCGGGAGAAACTGGTCACAGTGGAAATCATGTTTATGATCTTCCATTTGGATTGAAAAAGTTGAGCTTTTACAAGTGCACTAAATACGTTCCATTTCTGCCGTATTATGAAAGCGAAGAAGTGCCATCAGTGGAATTAAAGGAAGTATCACAAAAGCATGTTGATCTCCCAGCAGTTTAATGTAACAGTTTCATTATTGTTACAGGATATGGTTCATGGTTTTCATAAGCTTTTATTACTAAATGACCGTTAGTTATCGCTACTAAGAACTCAATAAGGCAACCACAAATTTTCTTTCAATTTTTTTTTAACTTTAAAAATAGTTCTCAAATGGAGGCAGCCAATCAGAGGTGCCATTCTTTTCCCTTTGGTGGTAACCATCACGGCATATAAATACAACTCTTTGAGGCAAAGACAACCGTAGTTTCCGCATGTTCGAGGTTAGCCGTAGCATAATGTGTTCATAGCATGGTAGAGAACGCCAAATAAATCAACTACATGACGAAACCATGCGTCTTATTTGACAGAAGATAAATGGGAAGAAGGGAACTTAACCAAACATTTTTAAAGAACATGGGACATCTTCTGAGAACAGGAAAACTGTAAGGGAAGGTCACCACCTATACAATAATATAACCCACTCAAAAACACATTCCTTGCGAAAAGTACATACCTCTCTAGAGATAGGTCGGCCTATCTTCAAAACAGAGTTTCCTTCCTAGATAGCCGGGTCACTCTCCAAAAACTTGCTGCCCTCCGAAAATTTATTCCTTTTAAAAAATGTATTCTCCCTCAAAAATATTTTGCCCTCCACGTAAAAACGTAACCCTTAAATGAAGGTAATAGAAACTCAGGCAAATGCCTCAATATCTTTATTACTGTTTTTAAAGTAGAAGTTCCTAAAAAAAAAACGAATGCACTGTAGACTTTATGAGAAATCGGAAAGATGAAAATCAGTTTGTATTGTTTGAGGCAAAAGTGAGTGAGTGTGTCACGGTGCCGTAAGAAAGAAATCGGGGACTAGATCTGATCTGTGTCGTGAGTGTGTAATGTTTAACTCTTTTGGAGTTTCCCGCTAGATATAAGGGAGTTTATAAGTCAGGCAACAAATTCGTATATTGCGGGTTCGACGAACCTCAGCCATATGAAGTGAAAAAGATAAAGACTGACAGCAGATAGAACGAAACGATATTGCATTAGGCTATTGAGGAGAGCATATTGAAATAATTTTCTGCAGCTACTGATATAAATAAACCTGCCTTTGAGGGCAGCAAAAACCTTAAAATGTTTCATATAAATTTCTCACAAAAAAGATATATTTCAATTTGCTATATTTCAAGTAGGCCTAGGAGGTCTTGGAAAATGCCCATTTCTGATTGGGTAACATGTTACAGTTCTTTATCGCCACTGTATTTCCATCTCCTTGAAGCTCTAAACATCTTTCTTGATGCGTGTTACGAAGGGTACCCTGAAAAAATATTAAGAGGCTTCATGTTTATTCGCATTTGAGAAAATCTGGGCGTGATGTCCTAGCAGATCTAGTTTGGACACTGGTCGAAGGACGCCCGAAGGGAACAAATAGGTAACCCATTCAACCCATTAAATACATGCTGTATAGACGAGGGTGAAATTGAAGATCAACTTAAACTTTCTTTCCCTCAGAACAAAAGCTAGTCCCTTCAGATTTCTACATGGTACTGAATTCCTCTGCGAAAACCAGTAACTGACAATAATGGATGAAAGCGTACGACTCTAAGGAGAACATAAGCTTTACCTTTGACAGTTCCCATTGTTGGCTGGTTTCTCCACAAGAAAAAAGATACACACTGTCAGACTCTCCTCCAACACAAAATGAATCTTTTACTCCAGCTTTCAACTCCCCATCGTCCGTTAGAACAAAATGCTGTGAAGAATGTGACACGACAATCGTTATAAGAACAGGTCTGTTAACTCGTCTCCCGCAAATAAGTGCGTTTAAATCGACTTCCTTGTTGTGCTATCCAGGCTAAATAAGGGCTAAAAAAATCAAGAGTACTAGAAATAAATCAGCCGCGTGTCATATACACTTCGCGGTTCTGACTGCTCAAGCAGTGTTGTCACGTGAGAACTTCACTTCAAAAATACCTCCTAGGTCTTTTTCTCAGTTCTGTCAAATTTTTCCCTGATTATAATCTTATCATCCAAACACTAGTAGGGCAATTTTGATTATCAATATGACGATCTGATACTTTGCTTGAGGAGCGACAAAATTTTCTTGGTGAAATTCCTATGTTGTCGGAAGGGCAGTCTGAGTTCTTTTATGTACATTACAAACCTGATTTCCACCCATCCCATGGCAAGGAGACACACCCAGTTCAGAGCCAATAGACCTGGCCATTGTATCAAGGCAAATTCCAGTCTCAGGATTGCGAGCCTTCAAAAAAATCCATACTTTAATTAATAAAAAAGGATTACTATGTTATATTCAGCACAGTCGGACATCCCATGGATAGTGAAAGTTTGATTTTTTTTTGTCGATGATCAAAACATATTAAAATTTGTTCGATCAAAACAGCCTAAGAAAATATATAAGCAATCGCCATGCATTTTAAGAACCTCTGGACCTTATCTCAATTCCTGATGAATGATGCTGTCATGAGTATTGTGAATTCTCTTGATGAGATTGCCAAGTCAGCTGAGGTTGGAGTTTAAATTCTCTGATCCAGGTGACATTATGTATGGGGATCAATCGTTTCAAAGAGAACTTAAGCAGAACACCCACGAACATATAGTTCACGTCGTTCCAGTGTCCTCCCCCCCTCCCCCTCTTACCTCCCCATATGCGTGACTTTCCTCTCTTGGGGTAGTTTGTTCAGGATAAACATTATCCAAGTACCATTTGAAGCTTTTACACATAAGCCGCTCACGGAGTTCCAAGCGCTCTGTCAAGTTTCCATGATCGACTCCTTCTAAGTCCGGTCTCTTCATAAACACGAACTTTTTGTATTCATCCATCCATACGTGAACAACACGTGCAAGATTCACCGTGACCTCATGATAGCCACCCGGAAACTTGTATGGAAAACGAGAGCGGAACACGTGACCAACACGAGAACATGGAATTATTTCTATTTTTCCTCCACATTGCCAAATCTGGAATAAATTAATAAAGGACATCAACAATAACAATGAAGAAAAGATTAACTTCTATATGTAACTGTTTAAATATTTTTAATAGGAGTTAAAGTTTTAATTCGCGATGGCGGAGATTGGTTTTGTATCAACATAGAAAACAATCATTTATTTTTTTTTTTATTTTTTTTCTTTGTCTTTTCGCTGTAGCTACTTCGGAAAAGGTTTAGCTGATGTCAATATGAGTTTAGCTACATTTCAAGACTTTTTAATTTTGAGTTCGGTTTGATCCTCGTGTCAACATAAAAAGAAAGAAAAGCCTTCATCGCAAGGAAACCTGGAAACCAAGGTAGCCTGTATGTGAGGTGAAGTTTATCGGCTAATTAGGAAACAAAACTTCAGAGAGCCATGACTTCTAATCATTAACACCTCACTCGAAAGGACATCTCCAGATTTTCTCCTCCCCAAACTTCCATTCCTTCGTCGTAAGAGCCAGATTCGAAGAAGTACTTGCGATCAATAGAAAACAGCCCTCCTGCCATTGTAGGAGTCCTGCCATGAAAGAAAAATATGCACACATAACCGGGAGATTTTCTAAGCGAGGTGCACTCCTGCAAATAATTCACTTTTGGTGATAAATGTTCATTTTCAGAGGGAAAGAACTCGTTAGAAAAAGTGAATCAAGTCCGTAAGGAGCCAACCTTCACAAAAATTGGGAACTTGAATGAAAACCACCTTCTCCTGTTCAAAAAATTGCTTCTAGTTAATCTTAAAGGAACAGAACTTTGCGAAGAAACTAAGAGATTCCTAAAAACTGAACGTCTCAACTTGGTGAATTAAAAAAGCCCCCTGTTCTTTTGGATGCAGTCATCTTAAATTTAGAAAAGCTTTCTAATTATCCAGTTATCTGAACTGTTGGTTGCACCGATATACTTGGTCTTTGTTGTTTTTTCTCCGATTCTTTCGGAATGATCGGAGACTTTCTAAAACCCTTACTGCAAAATAATAGGTACAACCTCTTTTAAGTTCAACTGTACACTAACCTGGTAACTTGGTATTATCAACCAAGTTGACAACGTAAATTGGCCACCGTAAAAAGTTTCAAAGCTGACGTTTCGAGCGTCGGCCCTTCGTCAGGGCGATTGACGAAGGGCTAACGCTCGAAACGTCAGCTTTTAAACGGTGGCCAATTTACGTTATCAACTCAGTTGGTAATACTTGACTACCTTGTTATACTCTCCCACCGAAGCAGCACCACAGTTTCTTTAGAAACTTACCCCATTTATGCATACTAACCTGATTGGCTCGCTAGAGTCTTTGCGTTTGTCTCGAACACTCAGAGGTAATGAATGCCAGTTGAACTGCATGTCCCAGCTGAAACCGCCAATAACTTCGGCTGGTGTCCCTGAGTATGAGAAGTCTGTGGAGCTTATAATATCGATAACTGGCACAGGAACAATGGTACGGTCCTGTCGGATCCTTTCTAGTAAGGGCTCTAACCAGTTCACGTTTGCTTCACAATGAGCGTCAAGAAATGTTAACACTTGGGCTTTAGCTGCGTTGGCTCCAAGAAGACGAGCCCGTATAAGCCCCTCTCTCTTTTTTGTCCTAATGATATGGACCTTAGTGAGCCTTGATACGTAATCTTCGAGCGGCTTTTTCAAATGATCTGGAAGAAATGAGCAAAGTGCAAAAATATAAATAGTTATTTCTGACAGAAAGTGAGTGCTGCACAGCAGCAGGGCAGATATCTAGTTCAGATGTGAGAGGGGAAGAGTAAAACAAAAGATAAGCTTGATTAGAACGTTTTGTGATTGAAGAGAATAACATTATTTGTTGTAGCTACAGGAAAGCCTAGAAAAAATATTGGAGGTCTCAGAGCTCAGGGTAAGAAATATATCTAAAATTATTTAGATTGTTGGGCCTATTTAGTTCAAATATGATACAAAATCAACGTCACGATGCACTCGGTGTAATAATTTTTGTAAAATGTTTTGCAAAGAATTAATAGCTGTGTAAAAGCTGAGTGCAGATTCGAGGATCATGTTTATGGTCGGACAGGGCGAACTGAACACAACTTGAAATCTTCTCCATTTACCAAAGGTGCTGAAGTCATCGACGAGTATAATCTCGTGCAGGAGGTCTGGGGGCGAGCGGTTTAACACACTGTGAACAGTGCGTAATAGAGTGGACCATGCCTCGTTATGGAAACAGATCACCACACTTGTAGTAGGTAGGTCCGAGACATGGTACAATTTACTCACGCATCTGGAATTAAACGAGGGAAAGTATACCTCATTAAGTCTGAAACGTTTCCTTGTCAAGTTCTCACTTCACACAATCAAGTTATGGAAAAAGATTTTTTAAGTCTATTGTTAGTATAATATATGTAAAGTAGAGGCAAGCCAGACAAAGCTGTTTCTTCCGTAACAACTCTTAGAGGCCAAAAACCGCTGGAGCATTTGATCTTAATTTATTCAAGGATCCGTAGGTGCTAAAACGAACGCGACTTGCAACGATTGAGGAGCTCCCATCCGACTTGCGTGACTCCCTCTGCCCAAATAAACCACAGTCTATAAAACAAAAAACTCTACTTTATGCGTCACCAGTATATACGACTCTCAATAAAAATTCAGGCACTGTTAGAGTTAAGTTTGTTTCATACGAGCACTTCATGAGGACTTGAACGCAGATACCTTTTATTCCTGCCAGGAAATACTCAGACTTAGCGGTTAGAAAAGTGACAAAAAAAACACTAATACAAACTAACAAGACTCTTTCGACCAGGAAAACACTGCATCAAAATTTAAGTCGCCATCTAAAAGTTGAGGACTAAAAGTGTTAAAAGTGATGGGACCACTACATCTTAAAATAAACTAACGAGCTGAACAAAGAATGAATGAAAAATTCAAACTATGAATCATGATTTGGCCATTAGCGAATTTGTAACACTCAATGAGATTCCAAAAGTTTCTGTCAGTGCACGAAGAAGTTTGAATACGAGGCAGTTCTGTTTACAAAACAAATTAATGAGGAAGCCAGTGTTTGAATGTAATTTATCGATTTGATCTATAAATAAAACCAATCAATCCACTTTTACACCGAACTAATGGCTGTTCGAGAGAGCTTACACATCGTGATCGAGTATTAAGTGTTGCAATATTAACCAAAATTTCCTTTTGCGTGCATCAAAGGACAGCACTGATATTTGAATAACATTAACCTGATATTATTTAAATAAAGGCCACTGCTCACCCTGGACTCCTAGTGTCCTGAATAGATCGGTCAAGAGAAATTTTAGAACTGGCATATTCGTTGAAAGCGTACTTATCGTAACCAGCCTTCTCGTTGTATTTTTCTTTATCTAATATCCTCACAGCTTTGCCATTTTCCCCCGGACCATTCGGGTCATGTGTCGGGAATCTTGCGACGCCAATATTCGTGTCGGCAGAATCTTTCCTTGGGTTGTCTTCGGCAATGGATCTCACTGACGAAATGAGTTTTTGATTTAAAACTTTAGGTTTTTTCCTTTTGCTTTCTGTTATAGTATCTTCTTTGAACCGTAGTTTTTCCACTGATTCCTTTTTACCATTTTTAACGAGTCCATTTTGAATCAATTGCCTGTCGTGATCTGACTTATACTTCAGTATCTTTGATATCTCAGTGTTTATGGTGTCGAGTTTCTCTCCGCCGTGGAGTGCGATCTCTGAAATTCCACGTGGCAATAATTTCTCTACGCTGGCTAATTCCTTTGACTTTTGCTCAAATTCAAGCCAATCATCTTTGTTTCTCTGATCAGAGATAATGTAACTTTTGTGATCTCGTGAAGGAATATTTAGCTGATATGAAACAAGTATTACGGTATTGAGCGCAAACCAAAATATGGACGTCAGTAGAGCTACAACGATGACCTGCCGCGGTTTCTGAACAGTGCATCTCCACGCCATAACAAATTAAAAATACCTCAATTTATTCCAATTACTGTATCCTTCCTTTGTATCTCTGCTAGTCTGGGATGATTTCCTCCGTTATTTTCACTGTTATGTCTACCAAATCCCAAAATCAAACACAACTTGACTGGCCATCGATAGGCGTAATAAATTACCTCGCGCTATTTGCCATTTAAAGCACATTACTTCTTCTACTTCCACACACAAGTTTTGAGAAGTGTGAACAGAAATAGCTGTAACGACAAACATTATCCCATCACAACCAGCATCACTGTTTTGTCAGTGGCTCCTAGTATGTTGACTTAGCTCTATGTTGAGTTTCCGCGAGCACGCGTATAGGATGACACGTATTGTATTAAAGAGCCATTAACAAGCTTTTCATAGTTCATCCCATCTCAAATTTAGTCAGCTGGGTACGGGGCTTTTGTTCCGCTGTCTGCATGACCCGACAAAGGTAAATAATTCGCAGCGAACAATTTTAGTCCTAATTTGCATACGGGCAACATCACTGATGCAAATAATTACGACGGGCACAACTTCTAGTTAAAATCTAAACTACATCAATCTCTGTATGAAATAAAATACAGCCTAGACATTACGACTCATATCAACTCAATCTGGCAAAATTTTCTCTGTCTATTTATTGCAAAACTCAAATTGTAAGATAATTTCCTTGCGATTAAACTTTGGAATAATAACGGAATAGAAAAGATTTATTTCAGTTTCCGTAATTATTTCCTTGAAGTATGTGGGGCATTTGTTACTAAGGGAAGTGCTTTTTCCAAAAGGCGTTTGACCCATAGCAGTCGTCAAGTCATGGTATGGTAACCGATTAGCGTACTGTTTCCTGACGAGGCGTGCTTTACTTTTTCAGCGTATTTAATTAAAATTAAGAAAAAACAAATTCGGCAACGCCTGATTACAAGTTGGGCGAGGAGTTGTCCGCTGCGATTGAACAAATCGAACGCTAGAATGATGACTGGAAAAATGAATTTCCTAGATCACCAACTAGATTTCATTGCGAAAGGAACACATCGACCCGACATGGCTCAAGATGTGACGATGATTGGTACAGATACGAGGCTTTAGAGACATCACTTTTTACACTTAATCCAATGTTTGTTTTCTTTTCATAAATTGGGAGATAAGAGAGAGGTTTTCCGTTTAAAGCTTTCGAACCCAGGTCTCTCCTTGTTACAGTTACAGGTGTGTAATGTTGTCAGAATATATCATTTTCCACTGTGGGAGGATAACGAAAAATAATTTATTCCTTCTATAGTTGTTTTCTTTTCATAGGACTAATCACAAATGACATCTTATTTGAGAAACAAGTTTTCATAATCAACAAATCCTGACAGATAACTTAAATTGTTTATCGCCTAATTTCAAAACAATAAATTCATATGTCCTAAAAAATTTCAGCTCTATAAAACGTACATTGTACATTTTTTAGGTACAGTGATAACCGTAACAGCTGGACAGTGATGTCAGCACTATAGAAGCGTCCGACGTGCACACGAACATAGAAACAATTCAGTGCGGAAGAAAATCGAAAAAGAGTTCGTTCAACTTGAGCCAAACGAGGCGAGTGTCTCCGAGTTTTGTTAGATAGTACTGTGGCGATTAGTGCTATACTGGAGTGATTCAGCAACGACTCGCTATAGGAGGGAGATGTTTCTTATCACACCCCAGTGGAGATGATTCCCGGTGGTACAGCTTCAGCCAGAACCCATGTTCTGAAATTGGACGATCACCAAGCGACCTCATCCTTCCCAGAGCTTAACTCCATACCGGACTATTGCTTTGTTTCGTCACTGTGCTGAGAATATGCGCAGACCGGCTGAGCATCAGTCCATCTCTTCTGTCTTAGAGAATTCCCATACTTGGGCCAGTCTCCCATCACACGCGCGAACTTTGGCATACTCTGCATTTGAGGAACCTCGGTCAATACATACATCATGGCGTGGATGGTAGAGCACTGTTTTCTATGAGCACAAAAAGAGTAACAAGGATAAGAAAAAAATGACTAAATTCGATACTCGACCACACTAATTAAAACTAGTCGGCGGAGAGTCGGGCGATATATTCTTCAGAGGGTTTCAATGAAGTTCACCGCTCGTTAGTTGTAAAAAAGGACACCGTTAACATTTTCCTTAAATCACAACAGAAATAGATGAACCGTCAACCATAAAATGGCTAACATTTTAAACGCCAGTCGTAAAAGCCATCACCACATTAAGACCCTCTGCTCAGAGCCATCATGCGAAATGCTCTGTTGTGATTCATAAAATGACCGCAGAACGGTTCCAATGGTAAAAAATGAGGGCAACGAAAAAATAATCCCAAATGATGCTAACACAAGTACGAGGCACACTATGTCTAGGAATACGTATGTATTCGTACCTTATATTCCCATTTCTGGTTCTGCTTCAGTCCGTCACATTCCTTCAGGTACAGATCATATCCATTGTAGTCCAAACAATTATCTTCTGATTTTAGCTCTCCCTTGCTTGTTAAAACAAAGTACTAGAAACAAAACAGAAAAGATATGTCACAGTAAGCACGAGACAATCCCCTGATAAACAATATTTGACACCTTGGGGAAATAGGAATAGTCTCTCATGCTGAATGCCTGGTGTTGGAATTCTGTACTTTCTCACCTGGTTTCCACCCTGGCCATGACACTCGTACAGCCCCAGAGGTGCATCGTCTTTCTTCCCCAACGTGTCTAGACACTTATCACTCGAAGGATTACGAACCTGCAAATAGTCAACGACTTTTGTAAATAGAAGAAGAAAGGTGGTAAGTCTTAAGCTCGGTTAAGAAATAAAGAACGATCATCAGTGTTTTTCGTCTTGCCACGAGCGTGAGACAAAGAAAAAATTCTGAGTCCCCATTATTAAAACATGACGCTATCGACATTGCTGATCCCAGCAGTATGCAGACCGTGTGTCATAAATAAAATACGTAAAGTGCCTTGCTCACCACAGAGTCTCTGTGGCTCATTGGTAGAACACCGGAGCGCGGAACTCGAAAGTCTGAGGTTAGTTTCCTCATGGGGACTCAGAATTTTCCTTTGCCCCACCATCTTGACAAGACCAAAAACAGCTTTGTAGATAACGACTTAAATAAACCAGTCACAGACAAAGTCTCCATGACAACTCCTGCAGCTGTTCAGAGTCTGATTTTATTATTACTTAGACATTCCATACTATTCACCGACAAATGCTTAAAAGATCCAGTTTCACGTGCATGTGTAAGATTACTTTGCATTTATCAGTGATAGGAGTAGTCGGAGGATTGGTAAAGGAAGAGGTGGGTAAGAAAGAAGGAATAATCAATAGAATTTTAGAATAATTCTACCACACCCCTCAACGCAGATCGGAAAGGGTACTACTCTACAAACTTCGCTTTTTTGTGTGTTTACTGACTGTCATAGATACATGGACACATGAGTTGTTCTCTTTCTAACCAACCTGTCCAGCGGCCACAAAGTTTGCATCGGGCACCTCTAACTCAGGAATAATATTCTCCAAATACCACTTAAAACTCTTGCACTGTAACTTCTTTCGCAGAGCAAGTCTTTCACTGATATCATCGTGCTTTTTTCTTTTAAGATCAAACCGAATGTTGTAGAAATGTTTGCTGTATTCATCCATCCACACGTCTGCCACTCTCATAAGATTACGACTTACAACATCAAGGTCACCACCTGGACGGGCGGGAAATGAATATGGAAAACGTGGTCTGAACACGTGGCCAACACGAGAACAGGGGAGCATCTCAATGGTGCCTCCACACATCCAGACCTGCATCACATGACACAGAGGAGCAATTTGGTTAGAAATATCAGCTCAGGAATTCTTCTTATTAAAAATGTGAATGGTCATTTGCTTATCTGAATCTGAAACGAACCTTAACAAATATATATTCTCACAAACTGTTCATATATACAATAGCCTCCATTTGGCACAGCATGATATGTATGGATATTTGTCCATGGACATTGCCCGTTCTAAGATGTGGACTGTTTTGCAAGAGCAAAGCTCAGGGAAAACTGTGAGCTTCAAGGAACAGATAATGTCATAAACTAAATGTTCAAGCATACTTTCACCAAATGGAAGCTATTGTGTTGATGTTCCCCAGTTTCAGCTGGGGCATATTTGATCATGTGATGCATTTAGACCAATTGCAAGAATTGCAAGAAAAAAGATTTGATGGATTATAATTAACAATTATTTACCCAAGTGGAAGTGAATAATGGTGGATATCTACCAAGCCGCTAAGTAGTGAGGTAAATATCCACCACTTTAAACAACACTAAGATGAATAATTGTTTTCAACAGATATAAAAAAATAGTTAATTTCTTTCAATGTACAGTAAAATGGTCAGGAATTAAAACTCATGACAAGTGATTTTTGCCTTATTGGCTGCTAGGAGGTGAACAGTAGTAGCTATTCACTTTCACACTAGCAAATCAACATGCGCAAAAAGCACTGTTCACCTGTGTGGTGAGTACTAATAAATAATATTTACTTGGAAACAGTGAAAAGCTCTGTGAAGCTAATGTATGAAGCTAACATAAGCTTAAACAGGCTGATGAGATAAAGATCCCCTTCCCTTTACTTACAAAAACAGAACCTACTACAACAGACTTACCCTAAAGGAAATTTCCAGGTTTTCTCCACCCCAAATGTCCATTCCAGTGTCATATGTTCCTATTTCATCAAAATAACTTTTGTCAATAGAGAACAGGCCTCCTGCCATCACTGGGGTCCTGGGAAAAGGAGAGTTTTGATTGTTTAATTACCATGTTAACACAATTGAGTTTCACTCTCACTAATATATGCAAGGCTGCCACAATAATTCATCACAGAACATTTTAGTTCATGAGAATAGTGCTATCCTATACCATCTAATTCAGGCCACCTACAACTCATTACACAGTGACCAATACTAAAAAAGAATGTGTATTAGCTTGACCAAGATTGCCAACAGCTTTTTCCAGATCAACTGCCCACCAAGACTACCCACAAGCTGATTCATGTTGCCTTCAGCTTTAGTTAGATTGCATACAGCTTAGTTCACAATGCCTACATGATCGATGCGACCAACAGTCCAATTCAGATTTTTTATTCGTCTGTTTAGATTGCTTGCATTGTGATAAAGATACCCATAACCCA